TCGATGATGGTCTGGCCCAGGAAATCATCAGATTCCCTCTTGAAGCGCTGCTTGACACGGGACTTGATGTCATCATCTTCGTCCCACACTCGGACCTTGATGCGGTCGGAGGAGTTATGGCACTCGCTGGGGGTGAGAAGGGCAAGCCCTGGGATGAGCAGGGAAACCTTTCCAGCCTCTCCCCATCCTCTGCTTCCCTGACCATCCCAGCATGGGGCAGGAAGAGCAGCTGTGGGGCACCAACCTTCCCCACGGGGCTGTGCCATGCCCAGGCAGCCCCTACACAGCCTGGAGTCTGTGGCAGCACCCCAAGGGACCCCAGCACCACCCTTAGCAGGGGCAGGATGAGGCCCAGCTGACTCCCCCCCCCGCAGGGACATGCTGCCAGCCAGCACAGCCACGAGTGGCCAGGGAGGGGACAGGGGTGAACTTACAAGTGGAAATTCTCCTCCCAGACTGGGTTGAGATTGCCGTAGATAGTTTTAGTCCTTTTTTTGGTCTTTCCAACCTGGACAGTGACATAGGGGTCACTGGAACCTGTCTTATCCTTGGCTTGCAGACCCTGGGCACAAACCACTGCAGCACAGCACAGCACAGCACAGCACACATCCATCCACACACGGCACATGCACAGAACACGCAGCAGAGAGAACAGACAGAGAGAGAAGTCAGTGCCACAGCCACACCAAGACCCCCAAAACAGGCAACTGTGCCCCCTGCAGAGCCCCAGGGGCTGAAGCTGCTTGGCAGGATGAGGGGTTGGAGCATGCAGCAAGGGGACAGCTCACGGTCCCCACAGCCAAAGGTGGCAGGTGCCTACCCGTGATGCTGATCTTGGCTGACCATTTGGAGGTGCCATCCAGGACACTCTGCTTCACTGCCTTCATCTGCTGTGTGTGTGTGGTCTTGGTGACCCCAAACACCTCCTGGATCAGCTCAAATATCTCTGGCTTGTTGCGCTCACGGATCTTCATGCGGTCCTTCAGCACCATGATGATATTTTGGGTCCTGTCCTCTGCTCCATGCTTGGAGCTCTTCTCTGCTGCTCCTGGAAGAGGACAGCCATGGGTGAGATGGGGCAGAGGGCAGGTGGTATCCAGGTGAGAGTCAAGAGCCCCCCAAGCCCACCATGCCCAGGTGGGGACAGGCAGGAGGAGATGGCCTCAAGTTGCACCAGGGGAGGTTTAGATTGCATATAAGGAAACACTTCTTCCCAGAAAGAGTTATAAAGCACTGGCACAGCTGCTCAGGGCAGTGCTGAAGTCACCATCCCTGAAGGTGTTCAGACAACATGTGGATGTGGCACTGGGGGACTTGGTTTAGTGGTGACCAGGATGGTGCTGGTTGATGGTCGGACTTGATGATCTTAAAGGTCTTTTCCAACCTTAACAATCCCATAATTCCATGACGCTATGATTTTATGATTCTATACATGGATTGATTCAAACCTGGAGGGATCTACCCCTACCACAACAGACCTGCCCCACCACCTCCCCCATGCCCCGGGCAGCACTCCCAGGCTGCTCCTCTCTCTCTGCAAAGCCAGAAGGGACAAGGCTGTGGTCACCAGGTCCTTACTCTGCAGGCAGTCAGCGTTGAGCAGGTCCTGGCACTTCTCGTGGCACTTGACACCACACTCAGCACAGCGCATGCCCTGCCGGGCGATGCCCCACAGCAGCCCCTCACACTCGTAGCAGTAGGTTGGGGTGGTGGCTGTCCACACCTCAAAGTTGTGGGGTGTGGTGCAGGAGATGGGGTACACTAAGGCTTGCAGGGTCTTCTTGTAAACATGGTTTTTCTGTGCAGACACAGGAGAGAGAGAGGGGGAGAAATGCTCAAGCAGGGCAGAGGATGGCACTTGAAGACACGGTGATGGGGTTAGCTTGATGCTTGGAATTGATGATCTTAAGGGTCTTTTCCAAACCTAATGATCCTATGATTTTAGCCCAGGGTGCAGCCACGAGCATCCCAGCTGCTCTGGTATCACCGGAGGATGCTGGTGTGGCACAGACCCTGCACCTCTGCTGCTGGCCCAGCCCCTGAGGCTCAGCCCCCACCACGACCACCCCCAGCCCAGCCCAGCCCAGCACCTACCAGCTCCTCATTGTTCAAGGTGCTCGAGGCCAGTGCAGATGTGATTCCTGCTTTCCTGGACTGGACCAGGGACTGTGGGAAAGAAACAGAGTTCCCAAATCCAGCAGAACATGTGAGGGTCCCTCCCACACTCCACTGGGGTCCCAGAGGCTGGAAGGGCCCAAACCCCAGACAGGGAAGGGTGCTGGCTGCACGTGGAGGCAGTGGGGACAGCCCAGCTCCCAGCGATGCCAGCGCTGCTGTGCAGTGGGACTGGAACCAGTTCAGCCTGTGGCATTCCCAGTTTGGCCCCAATGGGGCAGAGGCTCTCAACATGTCTGAGACCCCCAGGGACATGGGATGGGGGGCACTTACCATGGCCTGTGGGCAGCCAGGGCCAGCGAGGGGGGGAAAAAAGGCTGTTAGTGCAAATCACCTCCCAGAAAATCCAGTCCTTGCCCCTTCCCTGCCAGAACCAGTGGGAACAGGGATGACACCTC